TTTGTGAAAACCTTTAAACAAACATATCTAATTCGTTTTAAGTCAGATCGGCATGCAGTGTTTTCCAACGTGTAATTTGGAGTTTATATATGATTTTTTACTATAATTTTGTTGTTTTTTGTGTTATATTTAATGAATTACAATCCTTCAAAGTTAGGATACCAAAGTTGAAATATTTCAGCTTTTCAGCTATAATGAAAGATTAGATTATGACATTTTTTAGTTGGATTGATTTTAAAGTTTAAATTACGATTTTTGGTGTTACCGTCATTACTTTATATGTTTGTGCTAACAATTTTAATTTTTGTTGATGAACTTGATTTATATGTTAGTTGTTTTTATTTAGAAAATCAATTTTGCAAGTTATAGTATTATAGATAATGTCATTAATTAATTTTGCAAGTTATATAAAACGAACAATCAAACAAACAATTATACTTTTATCGAGTTGTACCGTTTCAAACCCAAAAACCTATTCGTTACAACGAGTTGTATCATATGCACCTAAAGTTGTACAAGTTCAACGGGTATAAGAACTGGAAAAACCGGACCTAGACACGGACCCGGTTAGCCTCAAACCGGTCTGATCCAAGGTCGATTACAAAACCGGTCCGGTCCGATTCAAATGCTCACCCCTAAAAATACATCTTTTGTTTCCATTAATTATTGCTTTTATGTTACCTATTTGACTCATTATATTGAAAACATATATTTAGAAAAAATGACATTAACCGACACTAAATGGAGCGAAAACTCTCGTATATAAATACAAGATCAAGACTATCATATATATTTAAGCCATATCAACCAATCAATACCCCTGTGCCAAATATATTATAATAATTATAATGACAAATTGACAAAAGAGCTAACTAATCAATTGTTTTTAATGATTTGTTATAGTTATTTTTAACTGAAACTAAATAAATGCAATATATAAAGAAAAATATCACCCAAAAATACAAGTAATAGATGGGCTAACTGATGTGCCATTTTTTGTTAGGAGTTGCATTAATAAAAAAAAAGTTATAATTATTTTAACATTTCTATGGATGAAATGAGGGGTAGCTCGTGCCAACCAACTAAATCCGTCAGTGGTTAATTATAGAGGATAATGATTTAAAAGGGTAATATATTTTTCGATTTGTACATATTTTGTTACTGAGTTTTTTTCGTCCACATTTACCTCTTCAACTTGTTAAACTGTACGCATTCAGTCCTTATGACCGACTACTCCATGTTAGCCAATAAAAATGGCTTAATAGAGTAATATATTTCTCACTTTGTACACATTTAGTCCTTACTATTTTTTTACACATTTAGGCCTTAATATTTTTTTAGTTGCAAACTAAGTCAATTGTGCTTTTATACTCATTCAGTATTTATGAATGATTTCTGTAGGGTTTCTCATTACATCTTACATGGGAGAATCATTAATAAGGTATTTGGGGATTTTGATGCTTATGTCTATCACAATATCGACTACTTGGTTGCTTAGGTCATGTGTTTTGAACGTCATAACTTCTTTATACGATCTCGGCCTTTAACGATTTTTATATCCATGCATTCATATTTTAGTCTACTATAACTTTTGTTATATTACTCCAGTTAAAAAGTAATATATTTCTACTTACGATCTTTATATCCATATGTTTTTTTATGAATGCATGTATGGATGTTTTTTCTAATAAAATTGTAAGTAAAAATTTATTACATTTTAACGGGAGTAATCTTAACAAAAGTTGTAGTAGACTAAAAAAAAGAGTACGTGGATATAAAGATCGTTAAAATCTGATATTATATGAAGAAGTTACAACGTTCAGAACACAAAAACACAAGACCTAAGCCAAACCACAAGACCTACACAACCAAACAGTCGATATCGTGATGGACATAAGCATCAACAACCTCAGACAACGCATCAATGATTGTCCCACGTAAAATGTCGTGAGAAAAACCTAAAAAAATCATTCATAAGTACTGAATGAGTACAAAAACAAAAAAGACCGATTTTGAAACAAAAAAATATTAAAGACTAAATGTGTACAAAAATATTAAGGACTAAATGTGTACAAAATAAGAAATATATTACCCTATTAAGCTACTTTTTCCAGCTAACCTGGAGTAACCGGTCATAAGGACTGAATGTGTACGGTTTAACAAGTTGACGGGGTAATTGTGGACAAAAAAAAAACTCAATGGGCAAATGTGTACAAATCGAAAAATATATTGTCATTTTAAGTCATTATCCTAATTATAGTAATCTAATACGATGCAATACATGCTTGATGTGGAATCATGATGGAAATAATACATATATACATAACACATGTTCATCGTATCAACATCTACTGTTAAATAAGAACAAAAAAGGTTAGTAGAAACTTATTAAAGTATTAGACAATATATTTTCTAAATGGGTTGTATATATGTATAAGTTTGCCTGATATCTTGGCCGGTTGCCCAAATGATTGATACATAAATCAATTGCTGAATTTTCAATAACATGAATAATATTAGAACTATATATATTGGCTTTTATTAATAATAATATACGTCAATACGTGGATTACATTTTAAAGACTTATGATCGATTGTTGGGTTTAAATTGATAAGTTCTATAGTTGTGATATATATATATATATATATATATATATATATATATATATATATATATATATATAATATTAGAACTTGTATTAATCGGCTTTGTTTGATACTAAACGTATCAGAGGCAATATGATTATATGTACTAGACGGCTTTGCCTGATTAGTAAACATCTCAAGGTAATATTTAGTAATTCTTTTGTTTACCTATGGCTTTATAAGATTATATGATTTAGGGGTGTTTGTTGGAAATGATTGGTTTGATTTTATCCAAATGAGTGAATCTAAATTGATTTTGATTTTTGAAACACAAATCTAAATAGTTTGAACTAAACTTAAATCCGATCTGAAACAACCGATTTATAATTCGGTTGGATTTGTCAACAAAATATTATTGGTTAGTGTTTTCTATTTAAATGTGAGGACAGTGGCGGAGGCAGTAGGGGGGCTGGCCGGTGCTTTGCCCCCCCTAACTTTTCCAATAAAGCTTTATATATTTCAAGGAAATCAAATCAGGAAACTCCTTTACTTCCAAAATATAAAGGAGAAAAGAAATCAGGAAAAAAAATGGTAATAGCAATTACTAATTATGTGGAATTTACAAAGATATAGGGAATCGAATTCACAAAATAGAGGGAATAATCGTATTTTGACTTTTGAAAGGAACATTGAAAATTTTGAAACATCTAACTTCTAAAAAGGTTTAAAACCCCCAAACCCAAAATCAGTAAAAAACTAAAAATCGAAAAACCTTTCGTCTCTGTCGTCACTCCCCAGTCCTCGATTCACCCCCTTCTTCGCTTGACTGCCCATTGTTGACTCCCTGAATGTCCGAGTGAAAACTGTAACAGAGTCGGCTATGCCTCTTGCCTCCGTCAGCCTGACTATGGATCAAGCTCTGCCGGTCCTCGATTGCCCTCTCCGTCGCCGGTGACCTCTGCATCTCTGCCTGTTGTTGTGTATTACATAAATTTTCAGGCTAGGCTTACTTTTTCTCTTGTGAGTCTCTCTCTCTAACATAAGTACTTACATAGTATATTTATTCAAGATGTCTTTTTTACTTGAGCATATTTTTGCAATTTTGTCTTTATTCTTCTTAACATAGTTTATTTATTTTTGTCTATATGTGGTTGAAAATCATTTATATTATTACTTTATTTGTCACTCATTCAGATAAAATAATAAAATACACATAATTAATTCTATTGAACTTTATTGATTTTTTGAAGGTTAGAATATTTTAGTTTATTAGCTTCTTATACGTTTATGAAATTTACTTTTACTAATTTGAGGGCTACTCTATTAGTTTTTTATGTCTATAACTATATCTTTATTAATTTTGGGGCTGATTGTATGTGCTAATTTTAATTATACAAGTGACATCATTATCATTATTTCACAAGGAATGTTTCTTTTGGGTTTAAATCTGACATAAAAATAAAAAACAATTTTGTGTATAATTTAAAATCTTCAATATATGAAATAATGAACCTCACAAGACCAAAAAATAAAAAACAATTTTGTGTATAATTTAAAATCTTGGATATACGTATATGAAGATACAAACTAACGCTAGTTAATTAGGTTCGATATACGTGTGCATGAATTTTCGATTCGCCGATACCTTTTATATGATCAAAACTAATTTTAATGCGTTTAACGTAAAGTGCCCCTATGTATTTGAACCCATTTGTGCGATTTCAATTAATTGTTAAGACGTAAGCCCCCTTTAATATAAAATCCTAGCTCCGCCCCTGTGTGAGGATATATAAAAATAATTAATTGTAACAGAACACAGTTAATTAGAAATAATGAATTACCTTTAAGGAAAAGATAGTTTTATAACATCCTTAAAAATTTGAATGAAAGTGCTATATTGAATTTTAATGAAAAAGGATAAATAGATCAAAAATGATAAAATTTATGAAAAATGATCTTTGGAAATTGTTTCATGATCATTAGAATATGATTTGGATCATTGATTGTGTAATTTTTGGTTATAATTGAAGATTGTCTAAGTACTAAAATCTATAGACTACAATGGACACATAGACTACAATGTACATTATTAATATAGAAATAGGTTATGTACAATGTGAACATAAGCCACGATGGTTTAACCTAAATCTCTGATATCACGTTAACATCATAACTTGTTAACTTATAACTTATGTATCTTTCAAATGAAAATCACAAAGGAATAATACCAAACCATAAAGGCTTTGGGGTTTAATCCCTAACCCTACACTAACAACATTTAGCCGATTGTTTAAAAAATTTAATACTTAAAAATCATAGGCAACTTAAATTATTCATGTCCGACAACATGATTTGCAACAACTTTTTGTTTGAAAGCCAACTAAATATGCCTCCGTTTTCCTTAATGCTGCGACAAAAATAGTTAACATCGGCATCGAGATCGAACGGCAAATGGGATCTTTATCTTACACACGAAAATTTTCCACCATTAAAAACCATATCGTCTCCTCCACTAATTGCAGCCATTAGCAGCTACCACTGAAGAACAACAAGAAAAAAATGTCAGACACACACAGCAATGGAGACTCTAAATCTTCAGTCAAACTCCCCAATATCAAATTCACCAAGCTTTTCATCAATGGAGAATTCGTCGATTCTATCTCAGGTACAACCACAGTAGTTAATTCCCACTTATTTCAATGATTAGTTACAGTTTCGTTTTTAACTTGATGAAAAATTTGTGAGATAGGAAAAACGTTTGAGACGATTGATCCAAGAACAGAAGAAGTGATTGCGAATATTGCTGAAGGAGATAAAGATGATATTGATTTGGCTGTTAAGGCTGCTCGTGCAGCCTTCGATCGTGGCCCTTGGCCTCGCATGTCGGGATCGGTAAGAATTAATTTAAAAAATTTCAGTTATTATCGGATAAATAATAATCGGTTTAGTTGTTGATATTTTAACAGGAAAGAGGAAGGATTATGATGAAATTTGTGAATTTAGTGGAAGAAAATATCGAAGAATTAGCATTATTGGACGCCATTGATGCTGGCAAGGTGCTGACCTACGGGAAGGCGAGGGACATACCCTTTGGAGCAAGTGTACTTAGGTATGTCTCCAAGGAATCTATAATTGAATGAGTAATATTTCTAACAAATAATCAACAATTTTAAAGAGATTGAGAGAAAAAATTGACAAATACTTCAAGAGTTACTTCTTAATACATTTAGCTTAGCTTTTTGGCTTATTTTATCATGCCATTATGTCTTTATCAACAATATATAATTGTCAAGATTAAGTATTTAACTCATTAAGATCATTAGATAAAAATGAAACACCTTTTTAATGTTTTTTTTACTTCTTGATATGTTTGATTAATGACATATATTTCAGATATTATGCAGGCGCGGCAGATAAAATACATGGAAAAACATTAAAAATGTCAAACCAATTGCAAGGATACACATTACACGAACCCATCGGTGTCGTTGGGCACATAATCCCATGGAACTTCCCTGCCGGAATGTTCTTTTTTAAAGTTAGCCCGGCGATGGCTGCCGGGTGCACCATGGTGGTAAAGCCAGCCGAACAATCTCCACTTTCCGCTCTTTATTGTGCACATTTGGCTAAAATGGTACGTTAATTAGGTTTCAATATAAATAACTTATAAAAATTTGTATAATAAATGGTTATATATATATATATATATATATATATATATATATATATATATATATATATATATATATATATATATATATATATATATATATATAATTTTCCACAATTTTAAGGGAATGACCGAAAGGTCCTTTGATTTCTACAAATTTACAAAATTAACATTGATGTGTAAATGTGGATATCTAGGCTGGTGTTCCAGATGGGGTGATTAATGTAGTAACGGGATTTGGACCAACAGCCGGAGCTGCGATTACTTCTCATATGGATATCGACTGTGTCAGTTTCACGGGCTCATCAGAAGTAGGACGACTTGTGATGCAAGCTGCTGCCATGAGTAATTTAAAATCTGTGTCTCTCGAGCTCGGAGGCAAATCCCCTTTAATAGTTTTTGATGATGTGGATGTTGATTCGGTCGTTAATCTTGCTCTCCTGGGTGGTTTCGCTAACAAGGTACATAAATCAATGACTAACTACAAGAAATAATATTATACTTTCATTTATTTGTTTATTATATCATTTTACTACTATTTCATTACAATAAATTTGTTATCGTAGGGTGAATTTTGTGTGTGTAGCTCGAGGATTTTCGTCCAAGAAGGAATTTATGACGAATTTGTGACTAAGTTTGTCAAGAATGCGAAAGACATAACAGTTGGTGATCCCTTTGATCCTTCCACTCGTCAAGGACCTCAAGTAATTCAAAAAACGACAAATTGAAATCATTTTCCAAAAAAAATGTTTTTTTCATAACTAGTGACTTAATTTATAGGTTGATAGGGCACAATATGAGAAAGTGCTTTCATATATCGAACATGGGAAAAGACAAGGTGCAACGTTGGTAACGGGAGGAAAGCCTTCTGGGGATAAGGGATATTATATCGAGCCAACGATTTTCACAAATGTTACGGTAATAAAAATAATCGGATTTACAATACAAAATTAGTGTGATTAACTCATATTAACAATTTTGATATTTTCGAGCATTTCAGGATGATATGCTTATTGCAACAGATGAAATTTTTGGTCCAGTAATATCTCTCTTTAAGTTCAAGTAAGTTCTAGTTCGCAATAGTAAATAAATACTACTAGAGATACATTAATGAACCATGAATGAACTTTAATTTAAAACCTTTTTTTTTTCTTTTTTGATTTCATTGATAATAATAATGTTAAATTTATAGATTAAATACCAGATCGATTTGGATAGAACCAGATTTTTTGAACACTTTGACAGGAGCTTTATCTAATGAATCTGGTTTATGTGTGAAAATAATCACAACAAATTTTAAATTCCCAAATGAGAATTGTAACCGAAGGATATTGATTTTATTTTAACGTTTGTACTTATTTTTTTATGTGTTTATGATTTTTTTTTTATCTATAAACTTTGCAGGACAATTGAGGAGGCAATTGAGAGGGCGAATTCAACACGCTATGGTTTAGCTGCAGGAATAGCAACAAACAATTTAAACATAGCAAACACTGTTTCACGATCGCTTCGTGCAGGTATTGTTTGGATCAATTGTTATTTGGCGTTCGATGCGGATAGCCCTTATGGAGGATATAAATTAAGCGGATTTGGAAGAGAATTTGGGATGGAAGGTTTATACAAGTATCTCCAAGTTAAATCTGTTGTCACACCCGTTCATAATTCTCCTTGGCTTTAAACGTATCAAGGATTCGATATTTGCATAATATCGACATATTATGTGTGATGACTCCTCAAATATGTTGATTTATAAGAAAATTTTCAAATATTGATTGGAATGTGTAAGACATCAAATTCAAAGTTACAAAGTAGCCTAATAATCTCATAACTAATCAATATTTTTGATAAATTTAGGGTTGCTACATTTTATTTTATTTTTTAGAAATTTTTTTGTTGGAGAAACTACATATTTGGACTATACAATATGCCAATTTCTATAGGTACAATCCCTAGGTTAAAAAATTACAAATTTGTCATTTCAAGCAAGCTCATTCGCTTCCAAAACGGCCACCTCCCTAGTTTAGATTGACCTAGTTTGTGACGAGAAGATAGAAAAAAAATGGATGGGTATATGAAAGTGAATGTAGTAGGTGTTATTTATTTTCATAATAGATAAAATACATTATTTTATATAAGAACATGGTAAAATCATAATTTCAGAAAATTTATAGGAGCGTTAAAACTATGGACCAAAACCATCAAATCTACTGAAAAAGATGAAATTTACAATTTTGAAACCACATGAACTGTAAATACAAAAATCGGCAAACCATAGATGCCAAATTTGTATGTTACGGAAATTGTTATGTCATAGTTTATTATTTCGTTATAAATGGTGTTTGGCTACGATTAGACATGCAACAATAAACATAGATAATAAATAGTTCAATAAAATTGAAATGCATTAAATACTTTGGTAGCATGTTAGTTATTTAGTACCATTATAAACAAAGCGAATGAACACAAACAATGATTAATTCATGTTTGTTCGTTTAAGTTAGCCGAACAAACGAACGAATACGAATGAATAAATGAACGAGTTTTCTTGTTCATGTTTGTTCGTTTAACAAATTACATTGTTCATGTTCGTTCATTTATGTTCGTGAACATCCTAGACGAACATAAACGAACGGCGATAAACAAACATAATTCAACATATATGAATATTAACGAACATACAATATAGTAATGTAATCAAAACACAATTGAACACATACAAACATATAAGGAACCTAAATGAACAACATAAACGAACCTTCAAGAACATAATTGAACGAACAAGACCATTATTCATGTTCATTCGTTAGTTCATTCATTAAATAAATGAACATAAACAAACTTCTTGTCGAACGGTTCACGAACAGTTCGTTGAACGTTCGGTTCGTTTACAACACTATTGATAGACAATAATATTAAAATATATTTTTGTACATTGAACGTGGAAATAAACAAGGTGGCATCGTTGTTAACCACGAGAAAATATTGTGGCCAAAAGTGATATTGAGCGATATTGAGCCAAAGAATATATATATATATATATATATATATATATATATATATATATATATATATATATATATATTCCAAAGCAAAACAAAAAATGTGTGTTCTTTCTTTTTAAAGTCGAAGGTTCAAGTTTTCTCCGTTAGACCATCTCTAACCCATCTCCATTTTTTCCCCCATAAATGGAGTAAAAAATGGGGTAAATAATGTTTCATCTCCAACCCTACTCCATTTTCTACCCCATTTTTTATCCCAAAAAATATATTCCTAGAATATTCCATTTTATAACTTATATATATTGTCAAATACACCCCTCTACTAATTAGATTTTAACAAATATATATTATATTTTAACTTAATATAGATTAGTATATAACATGATATTATAAATATTAAATATTGCATTTAAATTATAATTAGTAGATAAAATAAATTAGAAATGTATAAAATAAAAATGGAGAGACTAAAATTAGCAACCAAACTTCACCTCCATTTTTGAAGATATGAATAGTATTCCCCCATATATGGGGGAATACTATTCATATCTCCAAAAATGGAGGTGGAAATTGAGTAGGGTTGGAGAAGAATGGAGGAAGAAATGGGGAAAAAATGGGGTTTGGGGGTGGGTTGGAGATGCCCTTACATAGATGAAATTAGAACTATGATAGATTTGTTATTTTTAAAAAATATTATTATCTTTACTATATTGTTAAGCATATTGGACAAATCTTAATTTTTGAGAGATATTTTAAATTTTTTGAATTGAGTAAGATGGGTGTCTGCTGCACCTAATTGGCTAATCTCATATGGTATGGAAAGGAGAACTAAGAATATAAGGGATGTTGATACTTTCTTTTTCATAACATGTTTTAAAATCGTGAGTGCAACATATACAATAAGAATTATATAGTTAAGCGTGTCCGAGGTGAGAGAAATTATTGCTTTATCGTGCATTTTTATATTGTGTATTCATCTCTATTACCAAAACCAAAAAATAAATTTTTTATATTTTTTGTGTTTCATACTTTTTTTTTAAAAATTGCTAATTTAGCCAAAAAGTCGAACTACTTTATAAAAAATAGCCAAAAATTAGCAAATTATACCAACTAGACATTAAAATCGTAGGTCATTAAGGACCATCTATGATTTCTTTAGTTCAACCGAAAACATACAACCCTTTCATGCACATATATGCATCATTGACTTATACGTTCACAGATAGAAAAACGTCTAATCCAACTGTTATTTCTGCTTTTTGAAGTATAAATACCCTTTTTTGAAACCCCTCATTTTTGTAGTTACAAAATTGAAGAAACTCTCTCACACTCTTTGAATCAAGAACATAAACGTAAAACATTCTCTTATTATACCAAATACAGCGAAAGTTATATATAACTTTTTTTTGGCGCAGATGTCAAGAATCAATAAATAAATTTTTTTTTCATGTTACATTATTACAAAACAATAAGTATGTTATAGTTATGGATTAAATGGTATTAGTATGTATGAAAGAAAGATAAATAAAAATAGAAATATTTTCCAAAAATATCATTAACCCATTATTAAAATACTAAAAATAAAAAATAAATAGAAATAGAAATTTTTATACAATTTTACCACTTATCTTCTTTGCACACTTCATTTTTTATGAAAATCTCACATTTTGTATTTAAATTGCATTAATCTATATAAAATAAAATAAAAGCTCTCGGTTTAAATCTAATTCATCTGTTTTATTCCTTCATTCCTGATATGACATAGCTAGTTTATTATTATATATATATTAAAGTTGTGGAGAAAAAGAACAGTAAACCTGAGATATTTTTGACACTTTTGGTCTCTTAAATTACATTTTCGGTCCCTTCATTTTTGTTTGTGTGTCACTTTGTTTAAAGGATAACACTTTTATGAAACGGTAATTCTACAACTTTTTTTTTACTCTTTTGCCTCAATTGTTTTACCTGTTGCCACTTTTCCCCTAAGTTATTGTTTTTTACTTCTTCCGCTCAATTCTCTCGCTCCGCTTTTGCTTTAAACGATTCCCATTTTTTTTTATCGTCACTTCTTTAATTAATGAGTTTTTTTTAAATTGTAAAATCATTTATGAACAGTAAGGAATTGGTTTATTTTACATAAATGGTCCTTAGATTTTGTTGGATTTGACGACAAAATTACATAAATGGTCCATATGGCTTACCCATGATGACAAATTCAGTCCCTACTACCTGAAAAGATCAAATTACTCTCACATTAACGGACAAAAAGCAACCAACATGCTACTTTACTTTACAAATCAATACCTTCCGACCCCGGAAACGCGGAGGAATCTTTTCTAATTATTATTAAAGATATTTTTAAGACCAATCTCTTCCATTTGGGATTGTTATCTTAAATAATGAATACTGAAATCTCTTGGGCTTGGGCTTCATTAGTAAATTGATCATGGTTTCCTATTTTCTATTTTCCTTTATTCCTTTGCTTTTTAGTCTTTCTATTTTAATCATGGATATTAGCGTAAGAAGCTTATTCCAATAAATCTTGAAGTTTAGAGAGATGATTAATTTAAGAAAAAAAAAAAAAAACTGGTGAAAACTGAATCCGAAGGAGTTCGAGTTTTGACCCATTTAGATAACCAAGTTGGTAGGAAATGTTTTAGAACGGCAAGTTATATTGTTAGAAAGTTATATTGTTAGAGATGTTAACGGCCAAACGCAACAGAGATTGTATCCCCCGCCTCACCCTCAAATTTCGTCAATACCTCACCCCTGCCCTTAGAATTTCCAGCCTCCGCACCCCGGCGTCGCTCCCAAATTTCTGGATTATCCCCCGCCTCCGTCCCCGTTCCTCCACCTTGATTGATTTTGGGATATTTTTTATTAGGCTAAAAGAAGTTGTTTTGAGGTTTAAAAATAATTATTTATAACATAATTTTACATGTTAAAAATAAAAATGTTATTATATCTTAAAAACGTTATACTAACAACTTAAGAACATAATTTTTTGTTGAATTTTGAAAGCTCAAAATCATTGCTATTATTTATCATATTTTCATAATTAATATATTGATGTTGTTAGGTCCATTAGCATTGCCTAGACAACTCTGGCGTGCCAGCCCTCTTGCCGCTCCCCTACCAGCCCTACTCGGTGCACCCATGTCGGTCTTTTCCGGTGCGTGTCTGTGCCTGCCAACCTCGTCTGGCGCATGGCTATTAGCCCTGCTTGGTGCTCACCTCCCGGCCGCGCTTGGCACCCTTGGGCGGCCTTGCCCAACTCCTTGCTAGATAGGCCTGAATTGGGTTGGCCCAAGTCCTGACCTAACTCTCCCTTGACCTAACTGTCTCCTATAAAATGAACAGTACCTCCTCTATGGAGAGGGACCTTCCCCTCACACTCTCACCTCAAGGCACCGACCTCCATCATGCCCATATACACCCCCATCATGCAAAGATGGTTCTCTCCAGCTAGGAAAAACCATCTCATCTCTACCAACCGATCTAACTTGATCGCCAGAGCATGCTCCTGGGACGCATTCTCTGGGGCGGTTCTAACGACTTTACTTTGTGTTCTCAGATCCCCGCTGAAGCAGCAATCCAGAAGACCTCTCGGAGATTTAAGTCGCATCATTTGACGTCGTCTATGGGACTCCATGGTGGGTTCGGGATGAGACTGCACACCCCCATCCCCTCCCCCGAAATAAAACGGGGGTTAACCTTGCCCCCGCCCTCACCCTCGATTTTTTTTAACAAATATCCCCCCTATCGGATCGGGGACACACAGGTTCGGGTTCCCACGAGACTTTTTGACATCCCTA